TAGGATGGTAGCTGAGATGTAGGCTTGGTTCACCCTCTGATATCATGAGTTTAAGAAAAACAGATTCTTTTCACAATACCTATTTCAATCTTATCAGCTCACGATTCAGCAGCTTACATTTTCAAATTATGTCCTTAGCACACTTTGAAAGCAGTACTGGACAGATCACCATATGTGCCTTTGCAGATAGGGACAAGTAGAGGCCATTAAACATTATATCCTATACTGCCCCTTTAATAATATAACGAAGAGAAAAATACTTCATTTTTTACCATTTCATGGGCTCTATAGTGGATTTTTTTTCCCCCTACTGATGGATGTGTTCCCTTACATTAGCCATTTTAATTTTGTTCATTTTTAAATTAAGAAAGAAATACATGCCTGTCAGTTTTAGGGTTAGCTCTACATAGAGACACTAGCACTGTAACTTTGGACATACATTTAATATTGCCATATTTTTAATCAAACTGGTGATTAAAATCAATTTAAATCAAACTGGTGTTTTGCTGTATGTATTATATCTGAATTATTTTCTGTGGTTACAACAATTAACTTTACTGCTGCTAGTACATGTGTTTTAGGAAAATAAGAGCTCCTAGGCGCAGAGCTAACTTCTGACCACAGAGGGCATCAAGATTTTTCACTGCATATTAAATTAATAGTCACCGAAAGATCTGTATGACATTGTTTTACTAGCTGTAGACTTGCATTCATTCTCTGTAATGTTGCTTAATTAGCAGTTGTGTGAGAACTACTATTTTAGAGAAAAGACCTGGTGTAGGACCTCCAATTCAGATCAGGGACAGTAGAGAGGCTTTTAATCCTCCAACAGCTCTCTTTCCTCTTTCCCCTTCCCCACATACACATAATGGTCCCAATTTTGTAAGTTTTATTAACTACATCTTCATATTACTGACAATTCAACTTTACTCAGAAAACAGATACAGTAAGGGGAACAGTTTCCAATGAATGATGCACCAACTCACCCACATCTATTCTACTAGGTAAAAGTATATTACATAGCCAGTTACCCTGCTGATTTCATATATTTCACACAGTGCAGTTGATAGATTATGGATACATGAAGCATATTATTTGGTTCAATGAATAATCACATTATAGATTCCTGTGATACAGAATGTTGCTACAGTCACTAGCTTAGACAGTTTTTTTAAAAGCAGTAGCCAAATTAGTGAAAAATAGGATTAGAGTAAATGTTAGCTGAACTGGAACTTTATCAAGACAAGGAATCTCTAAATATCATATGGTGGTAAATGGAGGAGCGGCAAAATGGCTATTACCTTTATCTTACATGTGAATTTCCAAAGGTAATGACTGGCTGATTCTGTTGAAAATGTACTAGATTCAAATGAATTGAAAAAAAATTCATCTTCTACTTAGTGAATGTACAGGAACAGTATCAAATCAGTTTTGAATGCGATCACATGGAAGATTAACTTCAGTTTCAGAAATTATTCCCCCCATTTGGCATATTTATACTACTTGCCTCCCGATATCCCTTTACCAGTATCACTTCTGATTTCAGTTCTCAGTTTTCAAGCCTCCCTCCTGTGTCTGCTAGATTTCATATGCCAATATCCACACTTCAACTTTTATATAGTAGGTAAAGGTAAAGTTTCATTCAAGTTGAAGATGACTCCCAGCGGACATATCCATAGTGTTTTCTTAGAAACAATACAGGAATGGTTTTTCAATTTACAGTGTAGTGTACAGCTGTAAGATTTTCTAGTGACCTCTCATGGAAGTACTAATGAGTTCAGACCCTGCTTAACTTTTTCAAGATCAGCCCAGTAGGCTTCTGAACTTTATCAGTTATCTGATAAAGTTATCAGTAACTTTCTCACACTCTTTTTTCTTGGCTGTCCATACATGCAGATCCTAATTTGGTATCTCATTCTTCCATTCTCCTGCACCTAGGTTTATTAACATAATGGTAACTAGGGCATTAGCTAATGATGAATCATGCACATTGGCCTGATAAACTCGTCAATTTCTTCACACAAAAGATGATCCCATGTGTTAATGCAGGGTAGTTAGATATTGTAGTACAGATATTGTAAGGCAGCCACCATCAAACAGATATACTCTGGATGTCCTGAAAAACACTAATCACTTTTCAGCCTTTTGGCTTAGATCAAGTGTATTAATGCTAACTGAGTATAACTGGGGCTGCAGTCCCAAGATATATGAAAAAGAGAAGACAAGAGAACACTACAAAGCCCCTGGCTTTTGGTTTTGACTGTCCAAGACACAACAATTGACAACAGTTGTGCTTACACAATGGGGGCGGGAGGCAAAAGGGAATCCCTTAATGCTATGCTGGGGAAACTGAAGCTCATAGGAGGCATGCAATTATTCCCCCTTGTCATAGAAACCGAAGAAATCATGCTGCTGACTTTCAGCAGCAAACTGCTGTGAAAGGAAATGGTTTTCCAACCATTTTTACTTTAGTAACGTTACTATGTCACTGCCGAAACCGCTGTAGCCCTTCACTACGTTGCTCTAAGATAATGAAAACTTGTTGGCCTCTGCCTTAATGAGCATAGGGTGAAAAGTACAGGACAGGAGACTTGTCATGGAGGAAAGAAAGTCCACCAATCTGATCAATCTTGGGGTACAAATGATCCATTTTCCATTCAGGGCATTGGGCAATAGTTTCACAGTCTACTGTACTAAGAATGGGAAACTGCTACAAAAACAAGAATTTCACAAAGAATCAGTAAAATACTCAAGGAATAACAAAGATTACACTCTAGAGGTTAGATTAAACTGCTTTCCACATTTTGTTTTAATTTGCATGACCATCAAAACCAGTCTTTGGATTGAAGAAATATTACTTTCATTTCATTCAAGTTCTCCTTAATGCTATCTTTCTCCTTCACATTCTTGATTTCTTTTATTTAAGCCAACAGTCTATTTCACCTGATAATTGTTGTTCATTATATCCAAAACATCCATAAACAGGAATCACACAGGTTATCACAGTCAATTAAATTAAATGACAATGTGGGCAAATGAGACTGAGGAAATTATCTCAAGCAGCTGCCAAGAAGTATATGAATCTTCAACAAGGTTTCTGACTTGTTTTGCTAATTTGTTCAGCTGCAGTGGGTATCATAATTTTAACATGAATATAACATTAGAGAATATTCACATTAGTCTTATTTCATATACTCACAAAGTATATTACAATTTAATAAAGATTCCTAATAAATATAGTTACTGATCTGTGACCTTGCTTGTCTGAACACATACCTATCACTGCCAGGTTTTAGATCCTTCTCTCATTAACATTTCCATAATATATTTCCTTTTCCAATTAAATAAATACAACTTTGACTTTCTAACCTTTATACATACATATTTACATTTATACACTGCCATTCTGTTTTTTTAAACATTCAGAGTGGCTCACAATAATTTAAAAAATACAAAATATAAAACTTTTATCAAGATGGGTGCCTGATTCTTACAGTTCAGAAATGTACTTTAGATAGAATCTAGTCTCCCTTGAACATTTTCTCCCTGATTGTCCCACTGATAACAGTTAATTCATTTAGGTTTGGCAACAAGCAACTATAAATAAATAGTAAACATTCATTCAAACTTGCAGAAATATGTAGAGGTTTTGTTTACTTCTGTTCACTTAGGGATTCATTGACACAATATAAGCAGAGTTACCTACATTTTACATGCAGTTGTACTTATTACTATTTGTTTACTTCCTGGGTACTCAGTTGATACATTTTTTCTTATGGGAGATGACCTAGAAATTCCCATCAGGAGAAGAGCATGAAATAATGGATGCCTTCCCATATACATTTAAGGCAATATTTTCAACCATGATTTGTTAGATATGCTATAATGGTGTGATTTGCATATTACACTAAGCCCAAAAGAAACAAATCATAATACAGCTTAGCGTTACAAAAGTTATTTTTCCATGTATGCCTATCCACTTGAAAATCTAAACTCTTCAGAGCCAATGAACAGTTTCTACAGTCATTACATAGACAACAGAAAATAACACAACAAAGAGGTGTACTTGTCTGAGGTTCAGAGCACTTTCTGAATAATTTTCAAAGCATGTACAACTCTGTAAAGTACAAGATCAGCATACCAAAATACATTAAGCAACAAGAGAACAAAATGGCCACTGAGTCTCCTTCTATAGAGGCCTGAAGAGTGGGATTTAGGTGGTGAAAGTCTACCATTTCAAAGGAAGACTGAATTGGGAGTAGATGGGGATTTAAATATGTCCCAGGTTTTTCTTTCAGAAGGAATAAAATAACCCATCCAACTTAAAAAAAAACAAACCTATTTCTCAGGGCCAAAACCAATACAATAATGGCAATTATATGTGTCCCTCATTCATATAAAAAAGTAAATGAGGAACATAGTTTTTAAAAGGTAAAGGAAAGATTTGAGTTGAACTTGATTGCTGCTAAGTACATGAACACATCTGTGTAGTTTCCCTGGCAACAATGAGGAAGTTCTTTGCCACTGTCTTCTTAAATGTTTTGACTTTCCAGACAGAGGTGACAACGCCTGCATGTAAAAAGGGTGGAATTTTGATAATAATACTGGGCCTACCATCTTGCAGATTTGGACACCCTGAAGATGCCCTGGATGTTCCTGGTGATCTCTCATTCAAATACTAACAAGATCCAACCCTGCTTAGCTTTCTTGAGATCATCCAAGGTCAGCTTGCTGTTGCCACCTGCTTTGGCCATCTAATTTTACCATGAATTATTTTGAAAAGCTCCAGGAAAGTGATTGTGCCTCTACCAAACCTGCCTTTTCTTCCTAGCCTTTATTTTTCATTGGTCTTCATACAAAATTCTAAGTTCAAAATCTGATCTCTTAAGGAAGAAGGATCTGAGCAGGAAAAGGTCTCCACCTGGTAAACCAAGAATCACTTCCAATTAAATAGCTCAAGAACCATTCTATAACTCTGTATATTAAAAGCAATTACTCACTTGTACAAGCCATGGTGGGTGGATCAGACTCCTTTCGAAAATAGTTCTCTTCACAAACACAGGATGTTGATGCTTCTTCACGTGTGTAACTGTGTGGGGGGCATTTGATGCACCCTTGACTTTGGGATGAATCCTTAAAGAATCCCAACTGGCATGCTGCAAGAGAAGAGCCAACACTTAAGAGGTATTGCCTTCTTGTGAACACTAGTACATGTTTCTTGTTTAATTAAATCTTCAGGAACAAGCTCTGGTTGGAGAGAAAAGGTAGGTGGAAATACTTTAGTCTAGTGAGCAATGTGAATGGGCTTCCTATCTACTTTGACACATTCATTCTTTGCCATTGTCAACTATGAAAAGGTGGACTGAATTATAGTTATAGAAACTATGTGGAATTATTTATATAGCAGCACACAATGCTGCCTGCTACTCAGGATGCTCTTTGATGGTGCCCAATGACCTCCAAATGAAATTATATATATATAA